TGTGGCAGGACTTGTGTTGGAGCACAAGAGTAGCATAGTCTACAAATCTAGATCTCACCGGTTTCCATATTTCAATATATGTATGTATATATCTAGTAAATAACTGGAATACTGCGTTTTCTTATTTCGCATTCACTATAGAGCGTAAGCGTATGGGAAAGAAAAAAAGAGAGCGTATAATTTATGAAAAATTCATAAACTGGAAAATTCGGTTTGACTCGTATAATACAATGGTTAGAAATTTATATTCCAACGGACAATATTGAGAAGCACAGTGGGTAATATTAAAAAGAGTGGTTTTAAGGATTCTTTGAAATTTTCAAACCAATAAACTCTTTTTTTTTATAAAATGAGGTCTCAAACGCCGAGTGGTGTACGAACAGCGGTTGGGTAGGGTTTTAGTACACTTAGCAGAGAATGTCAAGCCCTCCGGAGCTACTAAGTGAGGTCAGAGCCCTTTTCATACGATCTTTTCAGCGTGGTAAGATGTTTTCTCTTTCTCTGCTCCGATCAGAAGCTAATGTACTTGAAATTTTCGAAGAGAGAAAATCTTTGTTTATACAGTGTTTTGCTTGGATTGCTCAAAGTTCAAAGAGCAGTTTGAGTTCGGCCACCGCTATAGAAGTTGGCAGGATTCCGTTGACGCCACGTACTAAGAGAATGCTAAAAAAGGTATTGACTGATACTCTTCCTGAGTAGTTGCTTAATGGCGTCTTATATCTTATCTTATACTTTCTTTCTGAAGGGCCTGGAGGTGGCTTTGCTGCAAGCAAGTGGCAACAGGAGTGGTTTCTATGACAGAATCTCAGCTGATATTACCTATAGACACACAAAAACTAATCCTCAAGGCGGTGCTTTGCAACTTTCTCATCAACGTCTCGCTAGCCCCTGAGGTACCGAGTAATTTATTTTGGCAGTTTAATAGTCTTGTAAGCTTTGTGACGAACCGAAATACAGTTTCTTGTAGCGCGCATATTAGTCCAAAATAACTCTTCGTATCGGAAGAGCCAACTGCAGACCGAGAAAATTAGATTCGTGGCTCAATTGCTTTAGCTTAAAGAATCTTTTGCATAAAAAGTTGAGGTTTATAGAAGCGGCGATAGCTCATCTCTCCCTGAGAAGTTAGTTCTTCTCAACTTAATGAACATTTTAAGGCATTGAAAGTAATGAAAAATTAATTCCCCACTGAGAAGTTCGAGGTGAAATGCTCCTCCCCATCTTTAAGAATAAATTCTTATTTAGACTTCGAAAACTTTTTATTTTTGTAAAGGACTACGACATCCGCAGGGCGAACCTAGAACATAACCCCGAGCTCTTCAAAGCTTTGAACTTGAGTGATTTTTGGAGACGTATGTTGACTACAGGAAGGCAGGCTGTCGAGTGTCACTTCCAGCAGCTTTAGGTTGTAACCGGGAGAATTACATCACTGATTTTGACATTAAGATCTACCCAATACTAGATAAACGACCTCAAAATTTAAGCTGTCAAAAGTACAGGCCCACAGAGGAGCGTATCAGTATTAACCAGACAAACCAAATTACGGTCATTTGCGAACGATAGTTCCGTTACTGAAGGATGGAATATGTTCCCAGCCCTGCAGTTGGATTGCCTCGGTTTATAACTCTCTGTTGTTTGGTTGAGAGTTGGAGGAGTGCGACGCTCAGGTAGTGGAGTTAATTTGGAGTATTGTAAGGACAGATACCAACAGCAAAGATCAGGCTGTCCGAGGAACTATATTATTCTAGCTGATCCTCACGGCGAGGATGTCTGATGCAAGTAATTTCTTGAACCGCTAAGCCACCGGGGATCTAGTAGAAACTACTCATTGGCTCTTTGTCGGCAATAACAAAGAGAGGCAGACTTTAAGTAAGTAGTTCGCTCTAATAGTAGATCTACCATCCAAAAATCTGAAACTATATTTAACCGTATGCCACTGACATGTAGATGAGTATGAGTGGTATTTATTCCCAAGGCAGGTAAAGGCACTTATAGTTGCTCCGAAGCTTTTAGGCTCATAAATCTTTTGACTATCGGGTTAAAATCATTAGAGTGGATTATAATAAACTGTCTTTCTTGGACTACGTGGCAAGGACCAAATGATCAGTGCGCCTAGTATATATAGATAAAATTGACGCTTTGTAACCGCTGAAGCGATTTTCGGCCGAGCTCCGCCTCTAAAGGTGGTTTTGCGTGTTGATGTTTTTCAACAAATGAAAGAAGAAGAAAAATTACAGAAACTGCGCTAGCTACCTTTATTGGAAAACTTTTCTACAATGAGGGCGTTTGCCTTGTTGCCTGCCTAGATAGATAACCAAGTATTTATAAGCCTTAGTCAGGCTTAAGTGTAATTGATGCTATAGAACGGTAGCTATCTCAACCTAACCTAAGCTAATCCATTTTCTTCATTTGTGGGTTAAAGCTCAATGTTTCCAAGGTTTTACTTTCATAAACTCCAATATGCTCTGAACGTTACTGTCGACTCATAGACGCAGAGCAAACAAAACGTACAAGAGCAAAGTACAAACGTACAAAGTTGGCGACTGAGTTTCTCTCCTATCAGGAATCTTACACAAATTTTCAATTCCTTATATATAACCAATTCTGCTGTTCTTGTGCTGCTTATCGTTCCTGGCTATCGGTTATGTCAGTCTCAACTAGATATACAACTGCACTCCAACAATTAAAATACCGGGATTTCCAGGTTCAAGCTCTCAAATCATAGTCCTTAAATAGTTGAAACACATTTATATAGCGATACATTTACTTAGAGACCGAGCCTGCTTGCAACTGCACCTCTGGGAGCCGAACGCTGCGAGCCTTTATGCTCAATATAGCGGAATTCCTCTATTGAAGCTTTCCGTTGTTGTTTTTGTAACAGCTGAGAAGCATATAAGAGTAGTCTAAGTCAACGAATTCATCTAACGGGAGGCAGATATAACGAGCAGTTTCAACAGTTCGGACCAGCGGAAAAAAGGAGAGTAGATGAGTAGGTTTAAAGGGTATTGCAAAGAGATTGGTAGTCCCGTGCGCGGTCTTATTGCATGCAGGGCATACGTTGAGTATGCCAAGACCAAGTCTGGATAAGTAGGTTCTTCATCGTGCCAGTATCTCACAAGGCTCTCATAATTTTCTTATGCCATAATCTGTTATTACCATCGCATAAACTATTGGATGAGTGCATAAGTTCGTGCTCGGTTTCAAGTGCAAACTAAAATTGAAATTTTTTGAAAAAAGCGCTTTTATTACTCAATTATGTATTCATGTTCGGCAATCCACTCCCAACGTTCAACATCGGTTCCGCCCCTTCATGTGCCTGTTTCCATGTTCTTTTGCATTGAACATTGTTGTACATGATCCATTTTTCATCACCAGTCACGAACCGATCCAAAAAAGGTTCGTTTTTGATCCGTCGAAGCAAAGAAATTGCTGTTGACATACGGTCCACTTTGTTTTTTTCACTCACTCAACTGATGTGGCACCCATGTTTCGAGCTTCAAAGTGTACCCAACCTTTTCTAAACAACGAAAAGCAGTTGATTTGTTGACGTTCAATTCACTGGCAACCTCTTCCGTCGAAATACGTGAGTTATTCGCAACTAAAGTCCTTAGAACATCGTCATCAAGCTCAGAAGGCCGTCCACTGCGAGGTTGATCTTCGAGGTTAAAATCTCCAGAACGAAATTTCGCGAACCATTTCTTTACTGTGCGGAGTGCTGGAGCACGGTCCAAATAAACTTCGCGAATATCTTTAGTTGCAGCGCCTACTGTTTTTCCTTTGCGGAATTCGTATAACATAATATGACGCATATGATCTTTTTCGTTGTCCATCTTCCATGCGTCTTTTCACTAAGCAACTCAAATCAAAATGAAGTTATTTTATGCTTGATTTACAGTTCGGACTGTCACCTTTCCAACGATATATAATATGTATATATTTCTTTCACGAGCGCCACTCTCAAACGATTCGAACGGCATCCAGCGGAATCGGGCACGAACTTATGCACTCATCCAATATTTCAAGCGCTAGCGAAGTCGATCAGTCGATGAAGAGGTGTAGTCGTGGTCTCCAACTGAAGCTTGCAGTCTTTTAGTTGGCGTCCTAAGACTACAAGACGCGTTGGATGCCCATATTTTGCGCTCCCTTGAGGGAGGTTTTTGTGGAGTAAATGACCCACTGTAGTTGAAATAAAAACGCACTGTCAGTATATAAGTACAACAAGCAAACACTAAATAGTAAACATACATACATATAAAAGTATTTTTTTATATATATACCTACACATGTTTTTTTATTTGTATTAGTACTGGAAGAACTTATGTATATTATTAATTGAACCGGAAAGTTAAAAACACCGTCATTTGTCATTGTGAAAATTCAGTTGGATTTCGAACGTGCAACATACAAAACGTGCCACAAATTGAATACGCATAGTGTAATAATAATTATAGTATGATAATTACAGTTATTTTATACATACATATAATAAGGAAATAGTGTGTAAGAGATAAAAATCAAAGCGAACGAATGTATATATATACAATACAACAGTTAACTGGCAACCTACAAAATATATATAAATACAATATATATGTGAATATAACTGAAAAATAAATAATAAATATAGTTAATGATTTAAAAAATAAATTATACCGTTTCGAGTATCATTTCTATATGCGCAGAACTTGCACAGGACTTCGCGTATGCCGTAATGGCCAAGTGCGCTGTAACACTTGAGCAAGAGCAACTTTTTGAGTGAGCAGCAATGAAATGAAATTTTTGTTTAAATATATGTAATAACATATTTCAAGTGAAATCAAAATAAGTCTCACTATATACATATATACAATACAATATAAGTGAAAACGCTACTAAAAAAGAGCCACACAAAGTAATTGCTTAGGTTTTGTGGCGCCACAAAGTGCAGTATATAGTAATTGTAATTCCTAGTACGTCAGTGACAATAATCAATTCGTCCCGTTCGTTTTACGCTTTACATCAAGACATCCAGCAATCAACGAAAATAGCGCCGAACCCGCTACATTGGCTACCGAATGGATAATGGGTATTTGCTTAGACACAGGTGAGTAAGGATATGCGAGCAAGGACACGCACCACTTGCATTGTGGATGTTGCAAAAAAAAAAAAACACATAAATATATATATATATATATAAATATATATATGTGAAGAGCATGTAATATATCTATAAACATAAGGGACTAGTGGGTGTAAGAATGTAAAAAGTTTCGCCTTTTGGAACATTCTCTACATTTTTTTTTATTGACATTCGCATAATTAAATAATAAAAAATAATTAAAGCCGTTAAAAGCCTTTTTTGTAAATATTGTTTCCTACTTATACACATCTATATATTTTTGCTATCAGGTGTACAACTTTGCTTCCGCCGTTTTTTTCCAAAATTAAAAGCTTTATTTCGAAAAAGTGCTTACAGATATATTATTCAGAAGATTGTCCTTCGCTAGCGACAACTTTCTCTCATCTTTCCAGCAATTTTCGGATCCCGGCTCGAAAAAAGGACTTCTCTTTAGACGCTATCCATGAAGCAATCCATTTTTCCAATTCTTTGAAGGATTGAAAATGTCGATCTGCCAGGCCGTGTGCCATCGAACGGAATAGGTGCAAGTCAGAACGGGCGACATCTGGGGAATACGACGGTTGGGGTAAGACTTCCCATTTCAGCGTTTCCAGTTACTTTTTGAACACTTTTGCGACGTGAGGCCGAGCATTGTCGCGTTGGAGGAAGCCTTTGTCATGTCGCTTTTGATATTGTGGCCGCTTTCCTTTTAGCGCGCGACTTAGGCGCATCAGTTGCGTTCGGTAGCGATCTCTTGTGATGGTTTCACCGGGTTTTAAGAGCTTGTAGTAAATCACACCGAGCTGATCCCACCAAATACAAATCATAACCACCATATTTGTCTTCGACATCGAAATCACCATTTTTAAAACGTTGAAAACACTCCCGACACGTTCTTTCACTCAGCGCAGCAACACCGTAAGTTTTTTGAGAGCATTCAATGCGCTTCAGCTGCATTTTTTTTTCGAATTGTATTAGAAAAGTAAAACTTACCGCAAATGGCGAGAATTAGGCACATAAACGGACATTTTCGAGCGTGAATAATACGAATACAAGAACAACTGTCACTGAAACGGCGTTGACAGTTCGTTAGGCACTGTCCACACTCACTTTAAAGGCATTATCTTCTATGTATTTCAACCAGCCTCAGCCGGTACAGCCTCTCGGAAAACGGCGGAGGCAAAGTTGTACACCTGATATTATATTATAGTTAAAAAAACATAGCCATTAAACTGGTCTAACGACATTATCGAATAATATAAAATTCTTCTGTCACAGTGTACGAGGGCATATCCTTCCGAAAAAGCTCTACCAATTTTGATGAAATTTTGTATGTATATTCGTTAGGTCTGCATGAAGATGAGATGAGAAGAGAACCTCGGACTGATCAATTCGAAGAAAGTTTACTAATAGTTCGATTTACATTGAACTCCGTACATAGGTGCCGTTTTGCTTAGGTTAACAGGAAGACTACGATTCTCTCTGGGAAGGGGACCAGGAACGGACCTATTCGAAGAAAATTTATTTATAGTTCGATTTACTTGAAATTCGTTATATGTATAAGTGTCTTTTTGCTAAGATTAACAGGAAGCCTGCACTTCTCTCCCGGAAGCGGACCAGCGGATATTAAAAAAAGTTGATTTTACAGTTCAATTTTCTTGAGATTTGATACATAGGTAGGCTTTTGCTTAGTTTAGCAGCAACATCACTTTTGTTTCCAGGAATAATACCCAGGCCCGATCTATTTGAAAAAATCATTTCCATGGTTTGGATTAATATATAAAAATTAAAGTTTTCGGTAGTGGACCAAGAGTCACCGAGCAAATATTTGATCGGCTTGATTCAATCCATAACCCAATAGATGGCATCATTCGTTAACTTTAGCAGAAACTTTGTTGGAAAGCACGCCCGTGAATATTCGGGATGAGCTTCCTTGAGTTTAAGTGTTTAAAAGCTGAGCAATTCCATTGGCTGCGCTTTGACAATTATTCAAACTTGAACTGCTGCTTGAACTTTTCTTAACTGAAACCGCTTAATTTAATTTAGGTAATTTTAAGAGAATCGCCCATGTTCAGATCATTCCGATTTGAACTATCTACATATATTTTATTATCACTCCTAATGTAATATAAGGCATGTGATTGATGTGATTTAATGTTATGGCTCAAAATTTAGTTTCAATATTAGGTGAAATCCATTATTTTTCCAATAAATGGCGTTATTAATGTATCTGTATCTCACGTTGTGTAAGTCCGATCGCGTTCCGCTAGATGGCGTTAGAAAGATTACATTTCGTGCAAAAATAGCTTTTCCGACAGTTTGGCGATTGGTTGATACAGTTTTGTTCGAGCGTGCGTCAAAGATGGGCAGCATTTCACAGTCCTACAAGTAGAAAAACAATCATCTCGTCAAAAAACAGCTGAGATCACCTCACTCTACTCCACTTTTCCGCCCAGGGATGTAATATTTATAACCGATATGAATAGTACTAAAGTTTGGCGTTCAACTATGTATATTTACATATAAATGACTAAAATGTTCTGAAACTAAAACTTATTTTAATAATTAATTATAATTAGATAATTTTTTCCAAAATTTAAAACTTCCATTTTTTGTTTTGGTAAATTTAAATTGCATCACACAGGGTTGGAAGAAAGAAAAAAAATTTCTTTAAAAGTGGGAATTCACTACATGCCTTAAATTTTAAATATAATAAATAAAAAAAATTGTATGTACATTACATTTGATAAGGCTGGATGCAGAAAGAAAAAAATTAAACCATTCAAATTTATACAAAAATAATGGATTACTTTTTACTACCCCTAAAATTAAGATAAGGGCCTTCAATTATGTTTAGATTTCGGGCCATCGCAGCTGGCTCTAATAAATTCCAGCCGAGAGGCGCAATTTTCGATCCCCTTTTAGGACAATTAGTCCGTTTGTCAGTAATAGCGCACCGAATATTATCTTTCAAGGCATCAATTGTCTGCGTAGACTAGCGACTTCACTTAACCTCACAATAAATTCACCAAAAGTTTCCTTCAATAAATTGATTGCTTCGTTGACTGTATGGAACGTAGCGTACTCCACATCCACATCATCTAATTCGGGTCCAAAAAAATCATTAATCATGGCTCTATAATTTCCCCACTGACTGCAGCAGTATGATTGGCTTCTGTTTTGAAGAAATACAGACCAATGATTCCCATAGAGCTCATAGAGCACACCAAAAAGTGATTTTTTGGGAATATTGTGGCGCTTCAGAGACGGCTGGATTACAATTTTGTTTATTATCCTCCCCATTCGACCAAAAGTGAACTTCAACGCTTAACATAATTTTCTTGGGAAAACCGGAGTATCTCATCATGGCGGTTGATTAGTTATTGCAAGATCTTTCCGCAAAATCTACCATAAAGGGGATGGAATATACTCATTCGGGTCTTCTTCGATAGTCTGCTTCACATCGGTAGTAGCGTCTTTGGGGATGCGCATAATCCACTAGAGTAAACGTGTTGCTAAACCGATCCATGGTTGCTCGCATCATTAATTCTGCTGGGAGATTATGGTAACCAAATATTGCACGGAGCCGCGATGTGATCTGCGAACCGAACCATAATTTCGATAACGAATTTGCACGACCTGCACACGGAGAAAGTCTGTTCATTGTGAAGTGGCTTACCAAACCGAGTATAAATAATGTAATTGCGAAAAAAAACCAACTCCAAAGGAAGTATGGCCGCAAAGAAAATGCCTAAATGAAAGAAAAAGCTTGTAATATATTGGATCAGTTTATTTAGCGATAGATTAGTTGCACTTCACTGCAATGCAAACGGCCCTCTCTCCGTGTTCAATTTTGGCACACTTTTTTTAACTTATCGGTCGGTATCTTACGCATTAGGTCCATTGCACCAATCCCAGCGAGTTCGTTGCTGTAGATCCAAGTTTTGAAATGAATCCACGAAAGAAAATCTAGACTGCCAATTGACAGGCTTCAAATGAGAAATAAATTGCTCACTGAACTCACCTCTGAGTTAAGCCATTGGTTCAAGTGCTCTTTGGTATATATCACCGGCATGTTGAAACCACGTGCCAGCCAAGTTCAGCTTTTCCATTTGGGCAAAAAAGGTTTCAAGCAGCGCATGGCAAAGCTCGGCATCTACAGTAATGTTCCAGTCTTCGTCACCTTTGAGCAACTATGGCTCAATGATGCTGCCTTTACATAAGCCACACCGAACAGTGGGTTTTTCCAAAATGTATTGATAGTTCTTTCAATGCTTCTGAGAGTGAGAGAGGAGCATCTCTAGTCCGGAAATTTTGCTGCTTCGTCGCTAAATAGCAGTCTTCGATCATAAATATCATCCAACTTTCCCAGTCTACTTTCATTCAGTTAGACGTTGTGGTAGGTCGTGAGACTACAATTCTTTTTACCAACTGTATTTTAAAAGGCTTCACACCCACACCCTGCCTCAAAAGTGTCCACGTAGTGGAGTAACAAAGGTCCAATTGCATCGAACCGATAATTCAGGGTCACCACTTACATTAGCGGATAAAGTTGTACCTTGCGATGGTAGGGGGTTCACAAGGGCTGGATCCAGAGTGACGCATACTGTGCCGAATATCAGCCTGGCTGGAATAGCTGGTGCATATGCACATTCTCTGTTCTGGTTCCCGTATACTCTTGGAGCCATCTACGACCGACGGTAATAATAATAAATAACAACAAAATACCAGATGAGTGCGAGCCGCGTTGGTCGGAAAAGTTGGCAGGAACAACTTGTTTCAAGTGGAGAGCAGCATTCTTAACAAGTACCAGCACAAAGATAAGAGCCAAGCTCGTTCTGAGTACAAAGGTTAATACTAACTCTCTAGTTCCAGCTGCAGTGAAGCTTAGCTCCAGCAAAGCAGCTACACTCAGGGGCAATCGGAGCTTAGTCATGCAGAAGATATCTAACTGGAAGTTCAAGTGAGTTGAGTTGATGCGGCTA